TCCCCGGGACTACGCGGTCCCCTGGTCCTCTGCCCTTCCCCCGGAAAGGTGATGCCAAGACATCTAGGTGGGGAGTTTTGTGCCCCAATGCCCCTGCTAAAAAGGGGGTGTCCCGACCCTTCCCAGCCCCCAAACCCCACTGACCGGGGGGCTGATGTCTGCAGCATCCCCCACCCGCCCCCCGCCACGCTGCCAGGGCTGGGGGGTGAGAGGAAACCTCTGCTAAAAAGCAATTTAGCTCAATCTTTTCCAAAAAAATAATAATAATAAAAAATAATAATGAAAAAGAGCCTGGATGATGCCTTCGGGCCTTCAGCACTCGGTGGCCAGCAGCAAGCAGAAGCCACCACCGGTGTCCATTCCCCCCCAGCATCAGCCAGGCATGAGAGCTGTGAGCTGCATCGGAGCCTGCCTGCCGCAGGAGCAAGCTGTAATTAACTTCTCCGAAGCATCAATTCGGGCAGAGCTGTCCACAAGACGAATGTGAGCTGGAGTGAATGAATAGGCCCGGCCGAGCTGCAAAAGCAGCCCCCGGTGTGGCATCCCCAGACCACGGGGGGGTCCCCTTGGGTCCCTCCACGCTGCAAGAGTGGCTGGAGCTCTGCAGGAGAAACAAGAAGTTGCGGGTCCGATGGGCGACGCTCGTACCTCGGGTGGGCAGCCTCCTCCGAGCAGGTCACCGGCATTTGCGGAGGACAAAAAGAAGGGAAAAAAACCTAAAGGATTTGCTTGCGGGAGCAGCACGGCAGCGGCATCAGTGCAGCACGGAGGCAGAGCCCCGTTCACGGCTCAGCTGACCAGCGAGCAGGCTTCAGCCGGCGGGATTTGGGGACAGCCAGCAGGATTTGGGGACGACAGAGCAGAGAGCCTAGTGCCCAGGGCTGCTTAAAGGGACACTCACAAGCTCAGACCCCCAAAAAAAAAAAAAAAAATGTTATCTGCCTTATTTGGTGAGGAATGGGCTGCCGGTTCTGAAATACATTTTTTTGTTTGTTTGTTTTAAATCAAGCGCTCCTTTGCTGGGAAAATGAAAGAGATGGGGATGGGGAGGAGGAGGTGGTAGAGGGAGAAAGTAGCCCCTCCTGTTTACATGCCTTGGGATTAGGGCAAGGCATGGCCCAGCAGCCCCGAACAGTCCAGTGCCCCGCGTCCTTCTTAAAAAGGCAATCGGCCCTGCTCACGTCCCCATCACGGCCAGCGGCACGGCACGGGACGCCTGCGTCCTTGCAGATGTGAAATCCGGGGGGGGTTCAACAAGCCTGCCCGGGCAGGAGCACAGCCCAAACCGCGCCGCTGGGGATGCCAGAGGCCACCCCAAACATGTCTGCAGAAGGCCTTGGCTCCCCCCGGGAGCCCTGTCCCCAACCCACAGCATGGAAACGGGCCTGGGGGATGAAGGACGGCGGGGGCGATGCAGGTCCCAGCCCGGCCCGTGGGAGCGGAGGAGGAGAGGGGTCCTGGGGAGCAGCTACTGGTGGAGCTCATTGCACTGGGACAGAGCGGGGGCTGCCAGGACTGGGGTCCCACTGCCCAGAGAGACACGCCATCACCGGTCCCTTATCTGGGGGAAAGGAAGCTTCTGTATTTATTTTGTGCAGGAAAAAGCTGCTTTTTTACTGCCGATAGAGCCCCTGTCACAGGCTCCCAGCTAACCCCGGAGCTGCGCTGGAAAGATAAACACAGCTCTTTTCCTGAGCATAACAAAGTCTCTCCATAAAACGGGGGGAGGTTTTTTTTTTCATTCCTCTGGTACTGTTTTCTCCTCCCAAGCGATTGCAGGTTATCCCACCCAAAACACTGCGGGAGCACCCCTGACCGGCACAGCTGGAACACAGCTGGGAGGTGATGAAGCCACATGGCGATGCGGATGGGAACGGAGCAGGATCGCAGCCCGTCCCTTAGGGAGAGCCGGGCACCCCGACCCCGGGCACCGCGCATCCCCTGGCCACCTCCTGCCGAGCTGCTGCCTCTGAACCCATCCTGCATCCCAGGGGGAAACCTGCCGGCGGCAGTGCCTGGGATCTGGGCTGGAATCCGCCTCATTTTCAGCCTAGTAAAGAGGTTCCCTATTCCCGGTTGAGAAATAAATCAGTCAATAAGGAACTCCGCGGGTCCCAGGAAAGGAGAAATGCTTTGAATTTACCCAGGAGGGGCTAATGTCGGGCTAGTCCTTCCTAATGTAATTGCTACGCAGACCCTGCAGGGAGTCTTCCCTGGATGCAATCGTGCTAAGGCATATCAAAGCCAGATCCTCAGAGGTACCTGCCAGAGCATCTTTTACTACAACAGGCTTAACTCCTAAGTTTCTCAAGTTGTGCACGCGATTCAGCCTCCGGCCTCCCCGGAAAAGCCTCGGCAAGCTCGGGACACGGTGCAAAATGGGGCTGGTTTGGAAGACGAATGCCATAAAGATGCCAAGTGCTGCACCTCCCTCCCAACACCTTCCAGTTCGCGGGTGTTTTCCCCCAGATGCTCTCTAACCGCTGCCTCATCGCTCCCCGAAAGGAGCAGGGCCAGGGGTAGCTGTGAGAGAGGCTGTCAACCTCGTTTGCTGCAGAGATGCTCTACCTGTGCTGCTAATTAGTGGCGTGAGGAGTGACTGCCTTCCTCCCCACTGGGAAGCAGCTAATAAACTAATTAGGATAATGGGTAACTGAGCAGATAAAACTCTTAAGCTATTTGCTAACAGGTCATGGATGGGTGTGGAGCTTTTCCCCCAGCTGAGCAGGACAGTGATACACCAGCCTGTGTGACACCAGTGGTCCCAGCGATGCCCTGTGTGAGGAAGGGTCCCGCAGGTATTTCCCTGGCGATCCTGCTTTGCAGCATCACTGTGTTTTGGTTTTGGTTGTTTTTTTTTTTTCCTTAGGGACCTGCAAGCCCAAAGTCCCTTTATTTTTGCACAGATGCTGCATTTTCCACACCAGCGCCCCGCCACCCTGGGCAGGCAGCTGATGTTCGGCAAAGGGACCTCTGCCAGCTCGAGGCTGGTGACAAGGGCAATGCTGGTGGAGAGGACTCACAGTTAGTCCCCATCACACTGGGAGTTTGGTGTCTTTTTGGAGGCGCTGGATGTGGGGGAAGCAGATGCCTCCCCCCATATGTGCTGCACTGCTCTCCCATCCATCCATCTATCCCTGGCATCTTGGGGATGGGGTGGGACAATGTGGTCCCAGTCCTGCAGCATCCCTTTGGGCAGTGCCACCGGCACAGGGAGAGACCAGCAAAGGCGCCTGCCACCAAAATAAAGGGCTGCAGAAGTAAGACTTTTAACGGGTAAGACAAATAAGGGCTGTGTAGTCTGCAGAGCAGACAGCCTAAACAAACGTGGGTGTAGGTTGGAAGAGCTTGGTCAGCTATGGAAAATACCCAAAAGTTAAAAAAAATGGAGAATTTCCACTGCCCCACCCAGGAGTGCCGAAACAAATGAAGCGATATCTACATTGAAAGTGTAACGGGCTTATTTCCAGAGCCAGGGCACGCGATCCGGTCAGGAACTTCTCCTCCATCAGAAAATACCAAAGGGTGCCAAGCCCTGGGCAGCCCGGAGCCCGCCTCTCCCCTGGCCTGCGTGGGAGCCTTCCCCCTGTCACCCCCCTCCACGGCTGCCGGCCCACCCGGGGCACGCTGGTGGTTCCCACACGGGGTGGGAACGCTGCTTGCTGCATCTGAGGAGCAGAACTTGAGGGCGAGAGTTGAAGTGACCTTGGGCTCAGGCAGGGAGCTGCCACGTGGCCCTCCCCGCCGCGTGCTATAACCATTGCGCTTGGCTCCTGCCCTTTCCTCTGTTCAAAAGAAGCTGTTTTTAGAGTCATCGCTCTTCCAAAAAAAGGGCTCTCTGATCCCAGCCGGAGAAAGAGCCGAAGAGAGGAGCAGAGCATCCGCCTTCGCAGCTCCCTCCCTGCCCCGAGCCCCCTTCTCCCCGTTTGCGTCACACGTGCAGTGAGTTGGGACCGATCCTGCAGTGTCCCCTCCCTGAGCAAACACAGGGACTGGAGCCAGCCGGGGATGGGGGGAGCCCGGTCTCACCATCGGATGCCAAGGGACCACCCTGCACAGCGTTAATACAAGAGTTGGGGGGGTGTTTTCCAGGAGGTGAGTCCATCCCCACCTCCCAGAGCTGATGGGGACCTGTCCGAAAGCTGCAAAATCCACGCTCAGATTTTGGGGCACCCAGGCAAAATCGCGGTTGTAAATTGCAGGTGGTGGGACCCCAGCAGCATCTGCTCTCCCCCAAAAGGCCCACGGCTGGTTTCCTTCTCGCCGTGTGCCTGGGCTCCTTCTCGCCCTCGTGAAAGCGGATGGGAAAGGAGCCCCGTTCCCACCAGCACGGGACAGGTCGGGCCATTTGTTCTGCTGCTGCTGGAGGAACCTCGGCTCTCGCTCACGGAGCGCCCCGAGGTAATCCCGCACTGTCATTAGGTTATTTCTGACAATCACAACCCTTTCCTACAGGCGGGAGGAACCGCTTGGTGCCCATCCCTGGCCGACACCTCCCCAGCCCGATCCAGACCCCTCCAGCAGCAGGTCAGACCCATCAAGGGCATCGCGCAATTAAAAACCTGATTTTTTCAAAAAATCTTTTAGCCCTCGTCCTCACAGGGCTTTTAGCTGAGGATGGAAGGAGGGAAACTTCATTACTCTGCGCTGGGGTCACTTATTAATGTGCCGGTTCCTAACGATGCACTTATCTTCTCCTGCCAGCCCTGGGCTCAATCAGGCACCTCTGGCGGGGGGTGGGGGGTGGTTCTCCTGCCCTATATTGCTCTCTCTTCATTAGCTTTTCATTCTGCTTAATTGCTCCTGCGGATTCGCCCGGGGTGCCTGGCCCAGGGGATGCCCCTGGGGAGATGGGGCAGGGGTTGCAGGGGAGCGGGGCAGCGCTCTGCCGGGCACGAAGCTGCACCGAGGGGTGGGAGATGGTGATGCTGGTTCATAGAATCATAGAATTGTCTAGGTTGGAAGAGACCCTTGGGATCATCGAGTCTAACCATCTACCCTACTCTACAAAGTTCTCCCCTACACCATATCCCCCAACACCACATCTAAACGGCTCTTAAACACATCCAGGGATGGTGACTCATGGTGATGGGAAGAGCAGGCAACATCCATGGTCTTGCCCACTGCTGCCCAGCTGCACTTGGGGGTTTGGTGTGGGCCCCCAGACTCGCTGGGGTAAATATTTGAGGTCACAGGTAAGGAAATTACGCAGGAGAGCAACCAAGTACCAACTCTACCCAAGAGCTTTGCAGCTAAAACACAGCTCTCCTCCCACCCAGCACTTGCACCACCCCCCCGTGCCCAAAACACGGGATAAAGCTACTGGTGTGGGGTGCATCTCCTGCAGGCATCTCAGGGGGGGTTGCAGCTCCCGAGACCCTCTCCCTGCCCCGTGCCCGGCTCTGACCTGCGGTGGTGGTGTCCACGTCCCTGGCTGCCAACTCCTCCACCTCTGCCCTCTTGCGCAGCTCCAGCCGCCGCGAGAAGCCCTCTCTGGGCTTCCAGAGGTCCTGGATGAGCAGCGGCTTCTCATGGTCACCCAGGACCCTCAGCCCCTCCGTCTGCCACCGTTTCTCGGGGCCCTCAAACTTCCCGATGACATCGCACAGGGCGTACTGCCCGGCGCTGAGCTGGCTCAGCCCGTAGCGCTCCAGGGCTTCCTTCACCAGTTCCCGCGCGCCCGAGCTGCCCGTCGCCAGCACGCTCTTGTAGTTGGTGCCCGCGCAGATGTTGCCCCCGAAGATCTTCAGGACGCCGGGGGCCGAGAGCTGGGTGGAGAGCTCGGCCGGGTCATCCTCGCCGGCTGCCGGGGAAGCGGAGGTTGAGCTCCGGTCCTTGTAGCTCAGCGTCCGGTACAAGACTTGGGAGAAAATCCGGCTCTGGCGCTTCAGCCGGTTCTTGGACGGTGGAGCCATGGTGGAGGAGGACCCATAAAACATCGTGCATGAGGTTGTCATGGGGCGCAGCTGGGCAGGGGAGAGGAAAAAGAGAAAGATCAGCAGTTTGGAGGCCAGATGTGCAGCAGGGAAGAGGGAGCAGGAACCAGCTGGTGGCTGCGGAGGAGCCACTGTCACCTCCAAAGTGGAAAGGGACAGCAGCGAGGGAGGGCCACCTCCCTTGTGCAACCCAAAACATCAGCGGCCAAGCTCAGCTGGGCTCCTCGGCAGCAGCACGGTTAACTCAGGATGGATTTGTCCCTGCAAATATAGCCTGGAGTGATCCCAAATTTCTCCATCAAGTGTATTAAGAGGTCCCTCTCGCCCAAGAGAAATGCAGCAGGAAGAGAGCAGAGCTCAGCAGGACTTGGCGGGGCCCATCCTGGTCGGGAGCCAAGGCATCAAGAGTTACTTCCACTAACGAGTTTACGGAGCAATCCCATTTTTTTAGAGGTGAAACAGAAAGCTCAAGTGCAAATTCAATCACTCTGAGGTCACCGCTAAATGCTTTTGCTCACCGAGAGGCACGGGGTGAAAATGGGCTTTAATTAGCCTTTCTAAAAATGTCCTGACTCTGGCAGATCTGTTGCTAGTTTGCGGAGGATGTTAGAGCACGCGGTGGCATCGCTGACGATGCTGTCCTTGTCACGTTAGCCAGGGCAGGGCTGCTCAGGGCGGCCCCGGGTGCGCAGCGACCGAAGGAGACGCGGCCGTGGCCGTGCGATAGCTCCCGGTGCACCTCGATCACCAGGAACGGGCTGGAAACCACGATGCTCTTCTGGCTTTAGGCAGATAGCGGTCCTGCCCGATGTCACAGCCGACAGCTGGGACCGGCTTTGAAATCACATCCTGGATGCACGAACACCCGGTGCCGATAACGCCGCCGGCTGCACCACAAACCGCTGGCGGGGAAGGTCCGGAAAGAGAATTTGAACATTTCTGATTTGGACCGGATGGGGACTTCCCTCACCTCCAGGTTTACAAGGTGCAGCCTGCCCGCAGGGAACGGGCATGGGCAGGGACTCGGGGCATACACGGGGGACCCCCAAAATGTCCTACCCACGGCTACGGGAGCGCCTCGATGCGCGGCGGTGCGCGTGATGCAGCCGTGCAGGGCCGGGGAGCGCTGGGCTGGCGGCCTTCTGCATCCGCAGCCCCACCTCGCTCAGGCGGGATCTCGCCGCCGGAGGAAACCCAGCGCTATCAGGCAGAATGATGTCGGCCCTGGAAAACCTCCAAACCACCATCTAATTCAGGAAGAAAAAGCGTCCCTGCTGCTAATGCGAGAGGTCACCTTCTAACCCAGAAACAGCCTCCCTGCCACGCACGGAGGACATCTGCAGGCTGTACATCTCCCCATCCTGGGACTAGAGGTCCACTGGACGCTGTCAGTGGGGAAACTGAGGCACCAGCAAGCGCTAAGGCTGCAGGACTGGGAGCTGTGCGATCCCAGGCACCCCAAGTTACCCCTTCCCCCCCCCCCCCCTCCCAAGTCCCACCAGGACTGTGAAAACGTTGGAGCTTGTCCTTCTTCCCAACCCTCTGGCTCCGAAAGTGAGGACACGGCGTCTGTCTGGGCGCTGCAGGGCAGGGAGGGGACCCGGCAGCCGCCCCGGCGCTGGCACATCGCTGCTGCCTGCCTCGCCGGAGCTGGGCTTAGCCACCAGCCTGGGAAACGGGGCTCAGCGTCTTGTGGGTCGTACCCAAGCATTGGCCCCAGCAGCTTCACCACAGGGAAGGCAGTCCCTGCTCCCACCTCGCAACTGGGGAAACTGAGGCAGGGATGGGGTTAAAGCTACGGCTCCCCGCCATGCGGCTGCTCCTCCTCCGGCTGAGCCCGGAGCTGCTGCTGGGGACATCCCTGGGGACATCCCTTCGTGTCTGCTGTGTGACATCTCCCGGGAGCACCGGGCAGACCCAACCTGGGGAGCAGGTCAGGGCACCGGCAGACAGTCGGGTTCAAGAACGACTTCCCCGGGCTGTTAGGACGGCCCCACCAGCCCTCATTAACATCGGCCAGAAGAAAAACTACCCCAGTGTCCCTACGAGACCTTGCCATCAAGGATGCAAAAGACAAACCTTTGTCATCAAATCACTGGTTTTAGTTCGCAGATTTAATCTCCTCCACCCTGAACAACCTCCAGCACAAAGGGAAACCTTTTAACATCTGCTGCTGGTAAAATCATTCCTCCAAGCCCACATCACAGACGGAGACACCATCCTCATTTCTGGCAGGTCCCTGCCTGGTTTTGAATATGTTATTTATAGCTCAGCCATTTTCCTGCTCTTTCCATCAAATGCAACTTCCACAGAGTGCAGGGACAAAGGCGTTTCTTGGGGCGGGGGTGAAAAATATGAAGCCTGGATTGAGAGAAGCTTCTAGCCTGGTCACCCTGTTATTCAACATCTGGAGCAACACCGGTGCGATTTCATCAGGCACCAGCTCAGGCCACCTGAGAAATTGCAACCTTATCCCAAAGACAGCATAACGCAGAGGACTGGAACGGATGCAATACCATGATAACAAGATGGGCTCTTCCCTCATCCCCAAGCACGCCGTTCACGGGCATCTCCGAGGGGGCTAAAGACAAAACCATGGTACGTGAGATGCTGTTGGGTCCCGCTGCGAGAGCGGGGATGCTCCAGCTGGACCCAGCTACCTGGGGACAAGCCGGCAAGGACGTTAACTGGTTGGACACATCTTCCTGCAGGTTGGTGGGCCACATGCTCCCGGACCTCCCCAGCCTAGGAGCCCCCTCCTCACTGCAGGCAGCCCGGTTCCCCATCCCACCGTTGCAGCCGTCTGCTGTTGGAGGACACATGCCTGCAGCTGCAGAAGCATGACCCAGACTTTCCAGAGAGTCCCTTTCTTCAGCGTTTGGTGACATCTCTGCTAACAACTATACAGTAATTAGCCAAAAGCCCGTGATTGCTTCCCAGTGGGATCTCTATCAGGTAACCTCCACCTCCTCCACACCAAAACCTGCTATTTTCCCCGGCCAGCGCTGTCTGTATTTACTCTGCAGAGCTATGACAAATGCTTTTGGCATTCACATGACCACCACATGTCCCTCCATCACCACAACCGACTCTGCAACTGCCGGGGACTTTCCTGCAGGCTCCGAGGTTCCTGCTCCCACCACGGGTGAGCAGCTCCTTCCCACTGCTCCCACCCAGCGCCCACGCAAAGCCTCCCCTTACCTTGCCATCCTTCTCACGTGCCTTTTCTCCTGCCATTCATCGTCTTTCTCAAAACGGGCCTTCCCCCCCGTCAAGCATCGTCCCAGGCGGGTGTCTGTCACGTCTCTGCAAGAGGAAGAGGAGGAGCGGTCCTGGGCTGCTCACAGCCACAGAGCGGTGGTTTCAGAGGGCTCAGAGATGCTGCGACTCTGCTCCCGATGTGCATCACGTTTGCACACAGACTATATTATACATATATGTATATAGCTCAGCATCTCACTATATCCCCCCACCTCAAACTAAACAGCCCAATGACTCGCTTCAGTTTAGGGCTGCTGACCCCGGGAACCCACGGGGACGCGTGGCCCGTGACAGGCATGTTTGCACATGTTCGTCCAGCCACAGCCCGTAGATGGGGAAGACCAGACCAGCCCCAAGCTCGGGCTCCATCGCAGCAGGAACACGGCAGCCTTGAGGGGGACAGGGAGCAAACCCAGCCACGGTGATGCCCAACAGCATCGACCCCATTGCAAAGAGACAGAGAGAACAGCTATAGAGGAAAAAAAAATGCTATCGGAAAGGAAAGGCGAAGGGGAGGAGATGGGACCAGCAACAACCCCGTGACCTGTATCTCCATCTCCCAAGCGCACGATGCTCTCTCACCCATGGGTGGACAACGGGTCCTGGACCAGCTCCTTCCCCCAGCAGCCTCAACACACCGGGATGCTCATCGAGATACGTTTTTCCTGAATCTCAGTCTATTTTGCCGGACATCGGGGAGAACCACCAAGCACCATTCCCTCAACCTCCCAGTACAGACTCTGTGGGAACGCGACCACTGGTAACCGAAAGAGAGAAGAAGCACCTGCGAAGCACCTGTGGTGATTTCACAGGTATTTCTTAGAAAGAGCTGGCAGGGCACAAGAAACACTCTTTTCCATGGCTCCGCCGTGATTAAAGACAAACACGCCATCTAATTAAATCACCTAATCAGGGCCTCGGTGTGGGTTCCATCCAGCCCCTCTTGCTGACCCAGCACTGGGGCTACGGGAGAAACTTTCGGCAGGGCGGCGGGCCGTGATGCGAAAGGCAAAGAGATGCTAAAGCCACCTCTGCTGCTTGATGTTACTTCCAATGATTAATCGCTCTTACCAGTTAAATATTTATGCCTTATTTCCAGTGTGTCTGGCTTCAGCTGCCAGACATTGATTCTTGTCATGCTTTTCTCTGCTCAATTAACGAGCTTTTGGCTAGCACGTATTTTCTCCTCTGCAAGAGTATTTAGACGCTTTAATCAAGCCCCCCCTTGTTTCTCTTTGATTTGATTTACGAGTAGCGTAACTGGACGGCCATCTCGTCTCTCGCTGTGAGACGTTTTCTCCAGCCTCTGAGTCCCTTCCCCTCGGTTCCCACATCTCCTCTGCCGACACAGAGAGCCTGGGTTTGCCTGTCACAAGCCCAAATTCGGTTCTGAGAACACCCTGACCGGAAATACAAAGAACTGCTATTTTTTTTTCAGAGCAAAATTTCCCATTACCCTCCACACGTTCAATGCTCCGGCATAGAAATGGGGACAGACACACAGCAGCCCCCCCGGGGCAGCTCCCGCTGGAGCAGGGAGCCGGTGAGCCCCCGCGCTGCCTCTCCCAGCATCTCTCAGCAGCTCCTGCCGAAAATTCCTCATCCAGATCAGGGACAGGAAAACACGTACAACTCCAGGTATTATTTTTAGGTGCAAGAAGACTGCCATTTTTCCATTCTGCTCCGGTTAGGATGCCTTTCGCTCGCCCAGTTTACTGTCCGGATTGGTACAAGCGATGAACGCTCTCTGCTGCTCTGGGTCAGCCCCGGGTTTTTCCAGAAATCGTTTCTATCTCCTTCCAGATTAGTGATAAAAGCGCTGAAACACCGAGGGCACGCTACCAGCTAGCAGTGCCCAGCGGTGATAATCTCCTCCGATAACTGCCTTTGAAATGGATCGGGTTTATTTAATACTGGCTTTCTTGACACTGTATAATGTCAGCACTAAATACTGGACTGGACTGACTTTTTTAATACTGGAAAGTGCAGATTTTTACAAGAATATCACCTCGCATAACTCAAATGCTTCATAAAAGTGTATTACAGCCAGAGAGTCACCTCTTGCATTGGAGACTGAAATAATTTCGCCTTGCCAGGGGTTATTTTCCATATAGCTGCGTTGGATGGCAGGAATTTATTCCCAGTGCTGTAGTCTTTAATCAATTAAAGCCTGAGCCAGGTTTCTCCCTCTTCTCCCCGGGGGGATGCTATCAAGCTAGTCAACCTGTAGCTACCAGGTCATCTCACTCCCTTTTGGGAAGAGCAGCAGCACTATTAAAAACACTTTTTAATCTTCTGGAATTTCCCCAGGGCTCATCCCAGCACAGGCACAGCTCTGTACGGATGGGCGGTGAGATTTCAGCTATAACCAACCCAGAACGGCAACCAGAAAAGCGATTTCCCCAGACCTCGATTTGAAAAAATTCCTTTTTTTTTTTTTCTTTTTTTTTTTCTGGACAGAAACCACTCGAGTTGCAGCCTCGATCTAATGGCAACGACCGCAGCCTGGATGCTGCGAGCAGAGGGAGAGGCCGCCCCGGCGCTGCAATGTGGAACAAATTATAACTCGAGAGAGCAAAGGAAATGAGAACACCCTGGACACGGCGGCTTTGACGTGCGCTCCTCGGCTCCAAATCCTGCCCCTCTGCAGATCCCGTCCCTACCTACCGCCGAGGCTGCCAGGGCACAGTCCAAACCCCTCCGCTCTGAATCAGAGCCCCCACTCCCTTCCAGTCTGGACCATGTCTCCGCTTCCGAGCCCGGCCTTTTCTTGTGTGAGTTTTATCCGTCTAAATCTAGGGACAGATCGGAGGCTGATAACGTCGATGCCAGCCTCGGTGCTGTCTTTAGCCGGATCAGAGCGGGTAAACTCCTTACCGTGTTATTATTAGCAGCAGGCACTCTGAGGTAGTGCCCCGGACCCCGCTGCCCAGGGACCGTTCAAGCAGGACATAAAGGCAGTCCCAGTCCGGCAAAGATGAACTAACAGTTTGTCCTAAAGGCACCTATACCTCTACAAACACATTTTTACGCTTTGGGACCCAATTCTACACGGACAACAGGAGTCCTTTTAGCAGGTTTGCTTTCCTTGCAGGGTTGTGTGTGGCTTTTTTCATTATTTTGCAGGGTCTTTTGAGCCGCCAACGTGCATCAGCTCTCCGGTAATGCGCAAGTACAAATGCCAGGGCAGTTCTATTCACACACACACGCAAGAACCGTTTCACAAAGAGCGTTTGCTTTCTGCTGCTTTCCGAGCAGCAGAGTCTCGGTAGGCTGCCTAATTATAAGTTCTTAGCAATAATTTTTTTTCCAGCGATAATTAACTGATCCTGGAGAGTGCTGAAAATAAGCACTTGCCAAGCAAGTAGCAAACTCCCCTGAGTTTTCTCTGCTAAAGTTACAAGTCAGCATGAAACTGCTCCAGCCTCACGGGGGGACACACCATCCCAGCACCTCCCCGCCAAGGCCTGGGATGCCAAGACAATCACAAACAGCTGAATACAGGTGACATAGCGCGTGCGGAATAGCAGTGGGATCCCAAGGAGCGTGCAATAGGACAAGGACACCCAGGGCCGGGCAATGGACAAGGATCCCAAGGGGTGTGCAATGAGGAGAAGCATCCTAAGGGATGGGCAATGGGTTGAGGACCCCCAGGGGTGTGGAATGGGACAAGGATCCCAAGGGGTCTGCAGTCAGGAGAAGGATACCAAGGGATACGCAATGGGACAAGGACCCCCAGGGCGGGCAATGGGACAAGGATCCCAAGGAGTCTGCAATCAGGACAAGGATCCCAAGGGATGTGCCAGACAAGGATCCCAAGGGGTCTGCAATGGGACGAGGACCCCCGGGGTGGGCAACGGGACAAGGATCCCAAGGGATGTGCCATGGGACAAGGATGCCAAGGCGCTGCGTCTCCCCAGCGCAGCCCCCCCCGCCCGCCCCCTGCCCGGTGCTGCTCGGCGGGGCCGGTTGGGTCTCCA